ACGAACTCATGTTCGGTTTTGCCCAAGCCCAATACAAAGGAGACCTACAGGATAAAGAGTTTGAAGCCGATCCTAATAAGAAAGCCGCTATGCGCAAAATTAGAGAGGGGGAGGACCTCCACAGTGGTAAGTTATAGAATTTTATCCTCCAGCCTCCATTTGGCGCAAAAACAAATAAACAATGGCCTCTATTTGGCGCGAAAATATGCTCAGATATTTGTATGCGGACATTATCTTTTCCGGAAAGCGAACAATTTTCCGAGAGCGAAGCTCGAAGAAACTGTAATAGCCGAAATAACCAACCTGGAAGGGGGGGGAGGGGGTAGGAATAGAAAATGCTCGTTGTCACTTAACGGTCTGAAAATCGGACACGCACAAGGCAACTGCCTTTTTCCACCATGAAATTTATCTAATTTTTTGTTCTCTTTTGATCTGCTTTAGGAGTAGCACGCCTGGTGGATTTAAATCCGCAAGACTACGAATTCCGCCGTGTTCTTAATGCATCTCTTAAACATCTTGATTCTTATGCTAATGGAGATTGCCGTTAAATTTCTTTTTTTGTGTTTGTCTCTATAGCGCAACAAAAGCTCCTCGGGAACTGGAGGTTGTGGAGAGTTACTTTCTTTCAGCATTTCTTTTTTCTGTCAAGATTTTGGTATTAGTTTTTAAATGATGGATATGGGCCTCTTCATTTTTTCCCATGAATGGGTAGCAAACTAAGTTTTATAGCGCCAATCGGTGTAATTGTTTATCTCCTCTTTGGGCCATACACGGGTAATCGGTAGACTTGTTGGTTGACTTCAGCTAGTGATGTATGATTCTTTAAACTTTTTCCATTCTTTTCTTTTTTTTTCTTTTTTTGAAGATGCCGAATAAACTGATAACCTAGAAATTTTCTCTTGTGTGAGTTTACTTTTCAACCGCTGTTAAACTCGTCCTTTCATACTATTGCGTAAAATTCATTATGGTTTGTACAGTTGAACCTGTACTTAGCAGCTCAGTATTAAGCGGTCACCTATACCAAACACTTGGTTGTCAAAGTCCCGAAATTTTTTTCCCGTGAAGCAATGAAAATTTACCCTCTATCGAGCGGTCGTGGTCATACTTAACTGAGACCCCCAACGACGCAGCACCACAGTTTCTTTAGAAACTTACCCCCTTTATTCATGAGTCCCAAAGGTCTGTTTGTTTCGTCTCCACCTGTAATGAACGGTCACTTGAAGCGGACCCACTCGAATAACATTTTTTCCATGTTTACCTCCTGTAATCGATATTCAGTGTTCTGAGTTCAAATGTTCTCAACGCATTGCATGTGGAATTGTTGAGTCAACTTTCTTTGGCGATAAGCAAAGTCAACGTACCGCTTCATTTAAAGCAAATTACGGAAATCATAAACAACAAAAGATGCTGAGTTTAAATTATATATTAGCCTGAGAAAAGCAGCCGTCCTTTCGCTCCCTTCGTTTCTTTCGCGGGGAGACGAAGGGAGCAAAAGGACGGCTGCTTTTCTCAGGCTAATTATATATCTCCTCTGGAATACTAGGAAAAATATTGCGCACGAACATCACGCGTGTAAGTCATACTATTAAACAATAATAACGCTTACAGTAATTTGCTATATTGTACTGTTTTTACGCTACTCAACCAATTTGTTGCCGCTGTTTATTAACGAAAAGTCAAAGTATTTTTATCAATATTTTTATATACTTTATATCGAATTATCAATTATGGCATAAAATTGCGTTTTATATATTAATTGCGTTTGACCCTTGTCCCGGCTGAACCTGTATTAAGCATACGCAGTCATTCCGCCTTAATCATTGCCACTTTTGATAGATAGATAGATAGATAGAGAGATCGTGAGATAGATAGATCGTGAGATAGATAGATCGTTGATAGATAGATCGTTTATTGAATAATACTTTGCAGTCGTAAAACTGAATTGCGTATTTTACAGATAACATTGGTTAAAATATAGAGCTAAATACCATCATATAAATGTAAAAACCTAATATAATAGATCTAGAATATGTATGAATATCTAAAATTAAAGTCGACTTTCTTTGAAACTTTAGGAGCTATTGAGCGCGCCCTGAGACATAGCATAAAAGAAAGAGCGTCGAAAACGTTCCGTGTGAGAACGTGGCAAATGATATGTCTATTGATGCCTTAAATTATAACGAGATTTTTTCTTTGATGGCAGAAGATGGTACAACTTATGTTCGGGATTGTTAGCGATGGAATTGAACAAATGACAACAGAGTTCTATGCGTCTATCATACAAATTTGGCAGGCCTAGACTGTCAAGGCATTCCCGATATGACATTTCAGGCGAAATTATGGAAAGCACACGTTTCTGAATTCTTTCAATATCCTCATTAAGATAGGCCGGGAGTGCATGATGGAACACTGGAGCGCAGTATTCTAGTATAGGTCTAATCGTTGTACAATAGAAGTTCACAATGTCCCGTAAGGGGAACACTGGCCCTTTTTGAAGAGAACAATAAAATACAGGCGCTTATTTGCTTTCTTAATGCAATCTACAATATGATTGTTCCATTTCAAGTCACTGGATATCGTAACACCTAATATCTGCGCGATCGGTGACAGGAAACTCGTGACCATCTACCTCGAGAGGGGAGAAGTTATGGGGGTTCTACTTGAAGTCAATAATCATCTCCTTGCACTTGTCGGCATTGAGCTGCATCCACTGAGACCAAGACCATTCCTCCACAGCAGTAACAGCGTGATGTACGTCACCCAGGGAGTCGCGGGGTATGGTTTGGGAGATTGTCGTATCGTCAACATACTTCCACGTGGGAGCGACAACGTTGAGATCATTGATCATGAGCAAGAAAAGCCATGAGCCGAACTTGGTCCCATGAGGAACTCCGGCGGGGACTGGGCCCCACTCAGAGAAGCAGTCAGAGGACAACTTGACGCTTTGGTGTCGATTCGTCAAAAAATCAGTCACCCAGATTTTGATGCTGTGCGGCATGTCGAGACCGATGATCTTAGCGACAAGTATCTTATGATCGATGAGATCAATGGCCTTGCGATAGTCAAATAACACGACTTCAGCGGTTGCACCTGTACCGTCTGTAGCTTGTGACCAGTGGTGAAACATCGAGGTCAGAGCGAACAGGGTGGAGGATTTGGGGATAGGACCGTATTGATCACGGTCAATGATCTTCAATATACAGCGGGGGGCAACATGGGTCGATACAACAAAATCTTCCGTGAGTTTTTTGACTTCATCTTTGACCATGGTATTGAACAGATCCACAGCAACACGGAATCTATTTTGTTTATATGATAATTTAATGGTAACTTCGTTGTGTCTGTCCTCCAAGTAAGAACCAATAAAAACGAGTGTAAAATTTGGCTAAGTTTCATCGAACTGCTGGGAGACTGGTGATGAGAGCAGCACGAGGGTTGCATTATGGGATTCCTGCTTCCCTTTCGTTCTCTTGCTCGGTTTCCACCATCTTTGTTCACGTGGTTGGAAGGCAAGTAAAATAATGTCAAGATTTTGAACGTTTTTACCATTCAGTTTCAGCTAATATTCAACAATGACAACTTTAAATTACAGAAGACCGTAAAAATGGTAAATACAACTGGTATTAGGCGCGGTACGCGTTACATGTTCTCGCGGGATTTTAGGAAACGTGGTAAGTTTTTAAGAAAGCAGTGTTCATCATATTTTTAAAGAATTTCCCATTCTTTATCGTCTTATTTTACCAACTTACTATCTTGAGGATATATTTGAGTCGTGTTCGAAGCCGTACGACTCAATGTAATAGACAAATTCCATTTTGTACGAAGATTTTACTTATAAAGTTACAGAAGTTTCCTTCGAAGTGTACTCCATGGCCAGCTTGTTACAGCTGTAGCCTTCGTTTCCATGGGTGAAAGTACCGTCCATGACTGTAAAAATAAACGATACACGAAATTGTATTTAGTTGGATAAGTCGATCGAGAGATCAACGGTGTCATACGTTCTGACATAATTATATTTGTATAAATAGTTAGGCAGTCGATGTACAGACTTGCCTTGCATATTTTTTTCTTCGAGTAGAATTTTTGTTAGATAATGAGAGGAATGTTTTTCAATTCTGTATAGTAGAATATGGCCATAGTGTTGTCATATCCTAGAAAGTCTGTTGGAATTAATAAATATTTGTAAGTATACCGTCAGGAATAAGTCATTTGCAGAAATTGTTTGTTGTCAGCCACTGATGTTTTGTCAGTATCTTATATCCTCACGTCAAGGAAGTGAAAACCTTTCCTTAAATGAAAGGCTTTTATTGATGTTTTCCCTCGTATGGGAAGGTAATTTTTGGATCCAGGCAACATGTAAATAAATTGTTAAAGAACAATTTTTAAGTTCATTGTTTTATTTTTTTAGGTGTCATTCATCTCTCCACATACCTAAAAAGCTACAAAGTTGGTGACATTGTGGACATCAAGGTATGATATAACAAAAATTAATGCCAGGTGCACCTTGTGTACAGCAAGGTGTATTTTGTATTCATATCTTTTACTTGAATAGTCTTAGAATTTCCAACTTATTAACCCCTTCATCCCAAAGAGTGACTGTCATGTTATGTCTCCTTAAATGTTACCCCTGAATCAAACATTTGGGTCACAAGAATAAAGGAAATAATCACCAACTAAAGAACCATTTGATTGGTGAACAAATTTTCCTTGTCAGCACTATAGGAAATGTATAGAGAACAGCATGGAGAATATGCACACTGATGTTAGGTGTAAAGAATGAATAAACCTGTTTTTTTTTTTAATTTATATTCAGGTTAATGGTGCTATTCATAAAGGCATGCCATACAAGGTCTACCATGGAAAAACAGGGCGTGTTTTCAATGTCACAAAGCGTGCTGTTGGAGTGGTCGTCAACAAGCAAGTAAAGTAAGTTGACTTTAACACTGAAGTCAAGTGAGAGTTCATGAAGAAATTATATGCATCCCTATTTATTTTCCATTTCAGACACAAGGCCACAAAATGGTGTTTTTCCTGAAAAATTCTTCGTAATTCATTTTTTGAAACCTTAAATTTTGTTGTTCACTTGCAGTACTTATGCTTGCAGTAATTGTGTTTGCAGTACTTGTGCTTGGCTGGTGTTATTATTTGATATTTCAAGTGAAGCATCATTTACTCTTAAACATATTGAAGCTTTGTGATTGTCCTCTGAGAATAACTGATAACTTTGGTCACAGTTTACACTAAGAAAAAATAATGTTTTCACTGTAAGGGTAAAAAGCTCGAAAATTCCCATTTCAAGCTTTGTAGTTTACTTTTGTATAGTGATCAATTTCTCAGATTAATGAGTGTTTTACAAGCATTTGTGAGAGATCAGAGCTTATCTAAAACTTGATCAAATTGTTGTTCATATACTGTTTCTCTCTTCCACCAGAGGAAAAATCTTGCCCAAGAGAGTCAACATTCGCGTTGAACACATCAAGCACTCCAAATGTCGTGATGACTTCTTGAGGTAACAATAAAATCTCTGGACTGTACGGATACTTATTACAATAATCGATATTTTAGAGATTGTAATAGCTGACCAGGGGTTTCATTAAGGGCCGGGCACTGGGCAAATTGACCGGCTGTGAAGACAACATTGCCCGGCTGCTTTTAACATCTCAACCATAAGAAAAATATCAAAGTTACTTTCCTATGTTTTCCTAATGTGTCTTCTAAACAAAATATATTTCAACTTAAAAAACATTAAGTGACTAGAAAGAAACACACATGGTTCGCTGCAACTCTGAGTTTCGTGCGTTAAGCACTCATCAGGTAGATTTAAATCTGCCTGATGAGTGGGGAGGATCGTTGCGTGACAAGACTAAAAACGGCTGCGAGGGAGACTAGGCATATATTTGCCCTTCACACCAATGCTGTAAATTAAAATAAATTAGCACATTGGATTCAGAAATCTCCGGTTCATGGTTTGTCGCGGTAAATGTCTTCAGTAAAGCCAAAACATAAAAATAATAGCAGTACTTGGAATAAATTAGTTCTTCCATTTTTTATCAAAATATCAAATACACGAAGTTTATTTTCTCTAAGATTGTTATCTTAGTTGGCTAGCTCTTTCAACTGGTTGCCTAGCACGTGACCAATTTCTTCCCCGCCGGCTCGAGTTTCAAGACGTATCATTACGCAAATGGTACAACCGATTCACACTAATTTAAAGTTTGAGTTATATTCAGAGAGACATGCTGCTCCTATAGTGATTGAAAATTGTCCCGAAAGCCCCATTCTTTTCTGATTTACTTTTGAAATTTGAATCTTCTGCGAGCGACGGGAACTGAAAGTCAATTTGTTGTAGAAGCTGCCAACTTTCCTTCGTCTGTGTCTGTGGTGGAATGCAAAAACTCTACTCGTGTAGTAACAGAAATCTTTTGTTCACGGCAACTGTAAAGAAAAGAACTTTTTAACCCCGTGTGTTTGTTAGCAGATCCATCTTAGTAAGATTAGAAAATAGAAGAAATCTAACGCCAACTCCTTTTCGTTTTTTATACTTTAATTGAAATCATATACCCTCTGAAACGAACAACTTAACAATCGTTTACACTTATATTCCACTCTATATTTGCACAGAAACCGTGTCATCTGAGATCCCAGCAAATGATAGCTGCACAGAAACAACGCCTTCTGAGAACTTGGCAAATAATGAAATACGTAATGTTACTAAAACAGCTTCTAGTGACATTACCATGCAACCAAATGTTGCAAAAGCAAATCTAATTTGTCTGTTGACTGATGCATCAAATCATAATTTAAAAAGAGCTGATAACTTTGGGATGTGAGTTTTTGCTTAAAAATTGTGGAAAATGCATCTCTGCAACTGTAGAATTTCAAAAATTTCAGGGGGAGCATGCCCCCGACCCCCCAAGAAGGCAAGGCCCTTTGGGCCTTGCAGACAGATGCCCGCCTGTGAAATCCAGATGCCTTCCTGCTCCAAATTTTAATGAAACCCGTGGCTGACTGAACAGCCTGCTGACTTAATGAATCACTTATTTTGATACTAATTTACTGGGATCAAAATGAAATACCAGGCCCTATTTCTATAGCTAGGTAATTTTTGAAAATGGCTGTTATGTTATTCAGGCGTGTAAAGGAAAATGAACAGAAAAAGAAGGAGGCCAAAGAAAGTGGTGGGGGAAAGGTTGATTGCAAAAGAAAGGTAATGTAGAAAGCTTTTGGTAACTTTGAATTATGTGATATTTATACTAGAATTAGGTCAAGAAAAACAACCCAAAATTGAACTGCTTTGGTTTATTTCAAAACCATCCTGTAATTTTTTCATGTATACCTCAGTTACAGTAATTACCTTTTTACACATCTCAGAGCTTTGTATGTATGTATGTATGTATGTATGATATTTACACAATTGTATTTATGATATTTACACAGATGTATTTATGATATTTACACAGATGTATTTATGATATTTACACAGATGTATTTATGATATTTACACAGATGTATTTATGATATTTACACAGCCTGGCCCAGTTCAGCTCAAAGCTGGTTTAAATGGGGGCCTGTGTAAACACTGACAAGGCCAGACCATAACACTGGGAGCTACATTCCTTACTCTTTGCCAGAAGAGCGTGTGTTCTTATCGTCCCCTTGTTAACCAGTATAGAGAAGATTTAGGCAGGGCCTAAGGTTTATTTTCCTTATCTGAGAAGACTAGAGTAATGTCTAACTATTTGCCGATGTCAGCGAAGGCAGCACATTCTCCTGAGTTGTTTGAAGACCTCAAGTTAATTCTGGTCTGGGACTTGAACCCCTTGACTTCCCTCCAGTGCTTTCAATAAGATTTGAAATAGGTGGCTACCTCGGTACAACACCCGCCTGAGAGCGACTTGATTGCGACTTAACGTGCTGACTGCGACTTGAGCGCGGTGAAATATACCCGGCGACTCGCAACAGAATAGCCGCCGGAGCTCCGGCGGGTGCCAGGTCTTATTGAAAGCACTGCCCTCAGTGCAATCTAGAGCTCTACAGCATGAGCTAACTAAGCACTAAGCACGGTCAAAAGCTGTTCATAATATTCAAAGCACTTGAGCATTGTAATTTGGAACTAGCAATGAACATGTACATACAATATCTTGTTGTGATTCACACCTGTTGTTTAAGCACTAATTCTCTAGCATCCTTGGGTAAGATATCACCTTGGCTTCATCAATGTCATAGATTTGTAAGAGCATATCCTTAGGGGAAAAGGGAAGGTAAAGTCTTTACCCAAACCAAGTCCAGCTGGAGCTGATCCCAGTTTCTAATATGAAGCGGCTAGAAGTATTACTACTCCCCCCCCCCCCTGCGAGGGATGCTAGTCCATTGCAAGGTTACCCACAATATTTCATCAGGCTTCCCTGACAATTCACTGGTACCCATTTATCCTCCTGAGAGGAGAGTGGAACCATGGAAGTAGAGCGTTTTGTCCAGGAATACAATACAAAGACCTTGCCATCCCCTTCCACACAGAATCCAACAGCCATTAAGCTACTATAAATCCCATCATATTCTATAAGAGCATGGAATTTAGATGAAATGTGACTTTCAACCATAACAGGCATAGAAGTAATTTTTACAGTTAAGCAACATAGATCTTGAAATTTTCTTTTCTGTCTGTTACAGCCAGCTGTACCTCGAACTGCACACTTTGTGCGAACCAAGAGAAACACCCCAGAAACTTTGGAGCCAATCCCATATGAGTTTGTTGTATGAAAAATTTGAAATAAACCTGTAATTCCACACTCAAGTGCTGTTTTTGCTTTATGACAGTTGGTTAATTGAAAAATACCCAATGTATTAGCAGGTAGTCTGTTATGGGAATGAGAAAACTTTTTAACCAGAATTACAACACATCAATGGTAGTGTTGGGAGAAAAGGAGGGAAACATTACATGCAAAGTGTTAAAGTAAAATAAAAAGACCAATTTTACCTTATTCCCAGATAATTTCTCCTTTGTTCTCAACCAAAATGTGGGGTGCATCAAGGGTCACGCATACTAAGAAAGGATGGAGAAAAGCCTTTGAAGGCGAGGGGTTACAGATATCAAAGATAAAAGAAACAGGATAATGTAAGTTGCTCCTTCCTATGAGGCATATCCCTGCGCTCTCTGCAGGCGAGTTTATGCATCCAAGATTGGTTTTTATGCACAACTGAGGTCTTACTCAAACACCAGCGATTTACTTGTTCCACCTTCTTATCTGTCTCGAGAGACAGTAGATACTATCTACAGCTTGACACTAACTTTTCAACTTTCTAGCCAAGTGGCTGGTGACAACTTAAGATGTTATAACAATTTCTGTTTGTTTACTAGCCAGACTGGCTAGTGGAAATAAAAAACCACTAGCCAAAACTGTATTTCCACTAGTCTGTGGCTAGGTGGCTACTATTAGTGTTCAGCCCTGAATACCATTTTTACTATTATTGTACACCATTACTGATACCCTAATGCCAGATCTCTCTTTACTCAATCAGTGTGAGCTGCATCAAAAGTCAGACCCATAAGAACAAATAACAATTTAATAGGAACAGAGAGTGGCCAATCAAATAAATAATCCAATATAATTGAGATGGTCATTTGATAGAGTGAAGATTCAACTTAGCATTTCACTGCCTCTTTAGGTTTCACAATACACATCACGTCCTGCACTCATCAGATATGGTTATCATTAAACTGAACATTTTCAGTGTAAGGATTCTTATAAAATTAAAAATAGCAGTATGAAGTTTTGGTCTCCATTTATTTAACCTTGAACCATCTCTTCCATTTAAGGCAGCAGTTTGCATTACTCAAACTTTCATCTCAGTGTTCCTTGATTTCTCAGATGATAAAATTTTGATTTGGCAAAGTTAAGAGGTTACCATTCTATAAAATTATCTCAGTTTTTTAATAGTAATTTACATATTCAATATTTTGCACCAAATTTTTTATAGAGTAGTTCACAGAAAGTATTTGATGCAATCATTTAATTGATCACTTCTTTTTGCCAGCCTTAGCAAGCTCCTTGTTCAGAGATTGAACAAACTTTGTGTAGTTTTCCAGTGTTGATCCACACACTTCACTAGAAAAGAGTTCATTCTTTGATACCATAACATCATCAAGGCTTCTGTTATTGAGAACTTCTGGCTTCACAGCTTTTACAAACTCGACTCTCTCTTTAAGGTAGGCAATAGGTTTCAAAAGACATGAAGGATGTTTTATGACATCTTCAATTTCCACCCCATCATTTGACAACAGATAATCCAGTTTCTCATCCAATTCATCTTTCTCAAGAAAAAAGAAGTTCTTTGCCGTCATGATGTGAGCAATCTCTTTGTTCTTGATACCTTTACCTTGAAACCATTTGATAATGGCTTCCACAGTTGAATTTTTGCTGTCAAACAAAAACTGTCTTGTTTTAACAAGACTGTATAGTACTGTTGGGTTTTGGACAATATCATAAAGCAACTGGATCCTGTTTTTCACTGAGTCCAAATTTACAAATATTTCTGGCTTTGTAATCAGAAGGTGCTGCACAGCCTCCATATCAAGTAAAAGGGGTTTGCTCCTCAAAAATGCCACAGAGTTACTTAAAGTATCAACATCAGTAGAAAAGATTACTGGATTTGTGACTGCAATGATAAGTGGCGAAACCTCCATTTCTTCAAGAAAACTTATGACTTCTTTAAAATTTTCTTGAAAATCGACTTGCTCTTTAAATTTCTCCGCAGAGTGAAGGATCAAGTTTAAGATCGCCTCCTCTTCCTTTACACCCTTGCCTGTTAATTCTGATTGTAGGGTTTTATGCGAATCAAGCAAAAGGGAAATAATCTCCAAAGACTGCTCTCTGAGTGGGAAGCTAAGAAGGAGAGGGTTATTTGAAATGATTTTGCCAATTATGTTTTTCGCGATCCCAGCTGATGTAAGTTTGTGAATATTTTCTTGAACTCTGCTCTGATCAAGGCTGAAGACAAACGGTGTTTTAAACATTAAGGCGACGATATCGCAGTTCAAATCTTTGAGCACTTTCAGCATCTCAGTAAAGTTGGGTGAATCCCACGAAAGAATGGCAGGAAACTCCAGAGCTATTATCAAGGCATCCCTTCCAGTGATACCTATCTGGAAGAGGAAATTCAATCTCTCTTCGAGAAGTTTTGGTGTTAGGCCAAGAATCCGGGGTGATTCCGATAATAAAGAAGTGGAACAAGTCAGCTTATTGTAAGCTTTAAGGTATTTTGTTAAAAGGTACGACCATCTTTTCGAAATGGAACCTTTACCACGCCCTAGAGTTGTTTCCAGCTTCTTCACATATCGATACAAGTTCAAGTCTTTATGAGATGGAATTTCTTGTTGACTCCTCGACACCTTTTGTTGAGTTTTTGCCTTCCAGTGGCGTGGAAACTTTAGATCATCTTTCTTGATAGACTTTTGGCTATCATCATCCACACTGAGACCTTTCTCCGATACTTTAACCTCTTTCGTGCTAACAGCAGATCCAAGACCGGGAGTTGTGAAATAGCGATCTGTACGGTAAGTAAGGTGATAGATTCTATTTAGCCTAAATAACGTGCAAGTGAAACATTCCCTACAAGAAAACCACGCGATCGCCATAATGAACTCAAGATGGCATACGCGCAAGAAAGAGGGACTGGGCATGATGAGAATTTTCGTGCTATCTTACATGTCCGAAAAAAAAAGTATTGCACCATTTTCAATATGGCGGACCCGGCTAACAAAATTTCACTGATTTTGTTCAGTTTAATCAGCCTCTCATAAAATAAATACGGATTTTATCAAAATTCGATAACTTATTTTCAAATTCTTTGAAGGAGATGTTAAATAGGAAGATCTTTGTTGTAAAAAAAGAGCTCTGAAGTTTTTACCGGAAGTGAACAAATTGTGCGCGCGCATTTCAACTCCCACGTGGTGACCACAATCAATTTCAATTTTCCGGCCAAAAAATCGAGAAGTTCGGGAGTTTTGGCTCCTCAGTAAATTATTACCGATGTCTCTACGGGGACTGCAGAATCAACAAACTCAAGACAAACTTACTCGGATTGCTATAGTAAGTAACGATAAGTGTAAACCAAAGCGATGTCATCAACAATGCAAGAAATCTTGTCCTGTGGTCCGAATGGGTACGTAAGTAAGATCGTGTTTTGAATGGTCGGCGGTGTTTTTGTGTGTTTGTGTGTGTGTGTGTGTGTGTGTGTGTGTGTTGTTTCTGGATCTTTACCCATCACATAGTCCTGATGAACCTTTTATCTACAGGAAAACTGTGTATCGAAGTAACCCCAGAGTCAAAGATTGCTCGCATTTCTGAGACACTCTGTATAGGATGTGGTATCTGTGCCAAGGTATGAACATATAAGAAGGACCACACTTCCTAAAGAGAGGAGATTTTGGCCGGATAGATTTTTAGAAGAAGTTTTTTCAATAACTCCCTTAACATTTGCTGTTAAATAAGAAAGCCAGGCGATGTAAACAGATTTCAGCTTTTTTTTCTGAAAGTTAAAGTTTCTAACATCGTATTTTAGCTTATTTCTGTTTTTCTTTTTAATCAAATCGAAGCTGAAACAGATTTAGAAAACACACCAAAGAAAACTTTTCATTTTTCTGACTTTGTGTTTAGTTACTTCTGAGATTTTGCTACTGAAAATGTAACTTAAAGAGGCAAGCAGGCAGATCCCCTTAAATAATTTCTGGTACTAGTGAAAGCCATGGGTCTCCAAACTCAACCCTTTAAAAAGTTTTCATTTGCGTGTGCAAACTGTACACCATCCATATTAAAATGTAAATCATTCATAGTAATAAAAAATTATTTTCTTGTGTAGAAATGTCCATTTGAAGCTCTTACCATCATTAATCTGCCGAGCAATCTTGAAAAGGAAACCACGCATAGATACAGTGCCAACTCTTTTAAACTCCACAGGTAAATGTTAAAGTATTTTCTCATAGAGAAAGCAATAGGAGGAATGATAGATATTACCTTTTGGTAAATAAATGTCTAAGGAATTTCATTAAAAGCAGACATCCTTTATCCTTTCACTTCGAAGGTCTCATGAGTAATTCTCCTTACTGTCTGCTACATAATTCTTATGATGTTAGTTCCGAGAATTTTGTATTGGATCAATTAATAATCCCCTAATTGATATGTTTCTCTATTCTCCTTACTTGTCTGCTTGATTGGATTGTTAGGAGAAATTCTGTCTCGGTCACTCATGGGACTTAAAGGTTGGTGTTGCTATCCATCTTTTTCGGCTTTCTAGGTTGCCGATTCCCCGACCAGGGGAGGTGTTAGGGCTTGTAGGGACCAATGGAATTGGAAAATCTACAGCACTGAAGATCTTGGCAGGAAAACAAAAACCAAATCTTGGAAGATTCAATGTAAGTTTTAAGTAATCATACTAGTAACTTGCTACTTTTAAGAGAAATATCCCTGGAGACACAGTGGTCAATTATGTATATTATGTGCTTTAATATCTGTACAGTACTTCTCTTGTTGTGAGAAAATTAATAAAAGTAAACATACTTTTTCAGAACCCACCTGACTGGCAGGAGATCCTTTTGCACTTCAGAGGATCTGAGCTGCAGAACTACTTCACAAAGATTTTAGAAGATGATTTGAAGGTGCGTAGTAGTCGTAACTGTACTTGTATGTCTACACTGTCTTTTTCCTCTACATTTATCTTGATACTTTTAACCCTTTGAGCTCTAAGAGTGACCAGCATCTAATTTCTCCTTACATTATCACCCCTGAATCACACATTAAGGTCACAAGAAAAAAGCAGATAATCGCCAAGTAAAGAAGCTCTTGATTGTTAAACAAATTCCCCTTGTCAGCACCTTAAGAAAAGTATAGAGAACAGTATGGAGAATATGCATACTGATGTTAGGGTGTGACAGGTTAATTTAATTTAGTTTGAATTGGTACTAGAAGGTTTGAAGTTCAATTTTTTTTTTAAGCCATCTCATGCCATATAACATGAAGTAATTTCATAAGAAAAAAAAATCGGATAGAACACTTTGTGCAGTATTGCGTGTTGTACTGCACCAGTACCTACA